AAGCAAATGGACTGGGACTACTACTACTTTTCGTCGTTCGACATGGCGTTCAACGCAAACGCGTCGATCACTGACAACGTCGAGGAGCACTTTGGCCTCTTCTACGCCAACGGCACCATGAAGCCGTGCTACGCCGAGCTCACGGTCTCGGGCGCGACGACCGTCGTGACCAAGGCGCCGTCGCAGCTCTCCAACGTCACCATGACGCCGGTGCCCAACACAATCCCCAAGAACAACAACGACGGCATGGGCCCCAAGACAAACAACTCGACCAAGCCTACCGGCGCAACGTCGTCGCCCGGTGCCAACGCGTCGCCGAGCGCAGGCTCCAACTCGACGGGCTCTGGCAAGTCGAGTACCAAGTCGGCGGCAACGGGCGCCGCTCTCACAAGCCTCGTGACGATGGCGATCGCATCCGTTATTATGATGGCCATGTAATCATCCATCAGCGAGTGTAGCTGACAGAAATGAATGAGTTTAACTTTTACTGTATCAACCAAGGAAGCAAGGGAAAGGGGAAACAAACTATTATGTACAATGCTGGTTTGTAGGTGACGATCAGAATGTCCACTCTGTATACGAATGATTGATTTCAACTCCGGCTTGGGGGAACGCAGACAGTGTATTGCGCTCGGGTGGAGCGCGGTGAAATACACTACCATACATATGCAAGCTATAGAACCCCTTCCCATGCGTGGCAGTGGGCTCTTGCGCGCGAGTCGTGGGACGAGGTTTGTAGCCGCCTTGCTAAAAGCACGGCTGCGTCTTGTCGCCCTTCTTCAAAAGGCACGGCGCTGCATCCCGCCAGATCCTGTAGAACCCGAGGCCCTCAGTATCGAGTTGATACAGAGGGACAATATACATTTATATTTGAGAGAATGAGGGGACCAGGTGTGCTCATGGTCGACCGTTTTGTTGCTCAATACTAGTAGATCGGTAGGGTGCGCCTGGACAGCTGTGCCCCCATGATGGTCGAGGCCCCCTGCCAAAGCCTCTGAAACTCGATTCATCGCGCTCATAAGCTCTGTCGCCCATGTGAAATGCCGCAAGCCCTCGTAGCTAGGAGCCACCAGCGCGACGGGCTGCACACACCAAGCAGCAATCCATTTCCCACGCGCACTTTGGGGCCCATGATTGTACAACGCTATTCGCAGCTATGGATGGTCATTGGCACGAATTGTGGCGGCAAGATTCTGTGTCCGGAAAGAAATCCGAACAAGATATGGCCAAATCAACGAGCAATGCTGCTGTTGGACCAAACATGCAATTGTAAAACTGCCAAACCAACCAATCAGCGTGAGGTTGCCTTTTCTGTCACCCAATCAACACACGACTCGAACACACATGTTGGCTGCAACAACTAAGCGCTTCAATAATGGTGAGTCCTTCCTGTGAGACTATCCATTCCACAATTGGCCATGAAGACCGCAGCCATCCTCGTCGCGACCTCGCTCGCCGTCGCCAACGCGACCATCTCGGTGCCCGGCATCAACTACAACCCGCGCATTGGGCCCAACTGGGGCCCCGACGCCACCAACTGCAAGTCGTCGGCTCAAATCGACAAGGATTTTGCGATTTTGGCCAAGGTCACCAAGGGCGTGCGCATCTACTCGCTCACGGACTGCAACGCGGGTGAGCTTGTTATTACCGCGGCCAAGAAGGCGGGTCTCACGGTCTGGCTCGGGCTCTGGGTCGGCCCCCTCCCGTCGATCTTCGATGCGGAAAAAGTCAAGCTCACCGAGCTCATTGAGAGCGGCCTTGTTGACAGTACTGTCGTCGGTATCCACGTTGGGTCGGCCGCTGTGTTCCGCAAGGACGTGACACCCGAGATTGTAGGATCGTTCATTTTGACACCACCGCTCACCCATGATTTAGGCGATCGCCAACATGAAGGAGGTCAAGGACGAGCTCGCGACGGCCAAGATCAATGTGCCGGTGACGATCGCCGATTATGCGGATACATGGGCGGCCAACCCGTCGATGGTCGAAGCGGTACGATGCAATGCCTTTACGATTGAGATCTTAG